TAAGCGGGTTTGGTGCCCTGGTAAACCGATAACCTATGCCACCTGATTTGATGGAATTCTGAAAATTCACATCTGTTTGAGCAGGTAAAGTTCGGCCACTGAGACAAATGGATCATTGACTGAGGGGATTCCCCATCGGAAATTTTGTTCATCCGAAATAGGTTATTTGTAATGGTACCTGGCGGCCAACCAGTTATTCAAGTTGTACAAGGTGCATTCCAGGTCAACGGTGATGGCACGACTAGGTAGAGTGATATGGACATAAAGTTTAAATATCACAATCTTTCTTCCAAACATTCTGTTGGAAAAATATTGCCGAAAAAAGCCATTCTGTGGTCAATATTGTGATGGTTTCAAACTTAAAAGTCTTATTTTATGGACATTTCCGGGAAGTGCCTTATTTTCTTGTTTTATTAGTCTGTTTACTGCTTCGTATTTTGCAACCGGTGAGATGATAAATAAAATAATAAAATTGAAATGTGTATACATTAGTCTTCCAATGGACCATACCCTGAATCCACCTGTGATAGGTAGCCCATGTACATTTATTTTTGGACAAAAAGAAAAAAATAAACAGAGAATAACCTAGAACATTTCTGTCATATATCGGGGCCGTTTAAGTCCCGTGCCAACCATTCTCCAACCCTTAGGTAGTGCAAAGGCGTTTTAGGACGAGGAGAAGAGAGATGGTCGGGCTTTTTCCCCTATGATACAAATTTAGTGACCTTGAGATGTCTGCCCGACTTTACCCTGGACAAACTTCTGATGTCCCCAAAGCCCATTAGCTCCAGCGGGGTAAAAGTTCATTGACGGAGGGGGTTCCCCGTCGGAAATTTTGTTGTTCCGCGACGGTCTATTTATATATTTTATCCAGCTGTTTTATGAGAGGTTCAATGTTTGAAATTGTCAGGAGACCGTGTGAGGTGATATAAACACAATATGTAACTAATGTCAACATGCTTAACGGAAATTCCAAAATCTTTAGATCTAAAATCGACTTTAAAAACATGTCAAACATGGAATTTTAATGTCATGTTTGACATATTTTCATAGATTATTCAATAAAAATGGTGAGGAAGATCCTATCGCAAATATTTCCAAAGATTATTCAATAAAAAATGATGGCGAAGATTCTATCGCAAATATATGTAGGTGTTAGTTTATCTTTATCCTTGGATTCAAGGTTTGTCTAGGGGCTCAAAAACATCTGATTTATCTGCATAACTTCGACAGCCGTCAGAAAAAAAACGGCCAATATGAAAAATAATTAGGTAAGTAATAATTACAATGAGAAAAAACTAGTTTCTTCCGTAATCTGTAATTGAGTGGTTGCAGAAATATGAAGCGAAAATAAAATAAATATGCGTAATCAAATTTTTCATTTTTTTTTTAACTTTCGTTTTTAAGGCTTCATATTACATATGCCCAAATTTGTTTTGGAGCATCTGATGAAGAAGCTAATTCATTGCATTTCAAGCTAACAAATATTTAGAAAAAAATTATCACCATTAAAGTATCAGTTTCATTTTACACTATTTTATCATTCTGATATTCGTTTGCACCCAGTTATTTTAATGCAGATTAGATCATACTCAACGAACTTTAACCGATGTAGCTATGATCACAGAAAATAATTTACAAGCAGCGCTTCTCAAAAATTGAACCATTGCCTTATTTTTTATATAAAATATATCTTTTCTGTAAAGTATAGTGCAAAATTATACAAACTTTGGATTAGTTTTAAATAAAAAATGTTCGCAAATTTCCGCAATTATATTTAAAAGTTGAACCAAAACCATGTGCATTGTTGAACCATAAATTATTAGTTTTTTACTTTGACTAAAGTAATGATATTGAATCATTTGTCAAACATTTCATAATTAATATTAATCTTCAGAAATTCGGGAATGGTCTTAATCAAATGTGTTGGTTTATCGCTCATTAAAAAGAAACCATGATAAAAGTAAAATTTTTCACTAGTTTAAATCTTTTAAACAAATCAATATCACTGGATGATTATCTGTTCTATTTCAATACCTACCACCTCCGGGCGTGGTGCTTTATAGTCAGGTTTGAGGTCACGTTTTCCATTTTTCAAACATCTATGTATTACGGAGTATCGAAGTTCTTGTTTTATTAAAGGACTCAAGTCTCCCTTACTTAAAGCCTCTAAATTTACGTCCGAGAAGTCTGGAATACTTTCATCAAAATCCTCAAAAAGTTCTAACGGATGAGGTGTCCCATTCAAATCATGAGAAGTGTTACACCGTTCAGCTTCCAGAAAAAAGTCCTCGACTTCGGGTTCCATAATTTCAAATCGTAACCCTTTTAAAGAAAATATATTTCATTTTTTGCTTTTTTTCCCAAATGTTCACTTGGTTTTTGATAATCGGGTTCCCACGGAGATTACGTCGGGAGAACTAGTTTGATTTGTTTAAACTGTGACAGGGGCGGATCCAGAAATATTTTCTGACAGTGTTCCAAATTATCTTTGTTGGTCAATCCTCCATTGTTGACCGTCTTCCGACAGAAAAAAATTGGATACCTGTCAATGTAAACTTGAAAATCTGACCGTCTTCTAGAAGACCCAGAAGACGTGCTAAATCCGCCTCTGTGTGATCATGACACCTGATTTCATCGATCTTCTGCGCCTGCGTATTTGAAAACCCCTTGGGAATTCCCGGCGATAACGTGCAAATATGTTAATACAAATCATGTCAGCTGTATATATTTGTATTTATAAGTAATTTTGTTTAGATTAAAATCATTTGATGTAGTAATAAACACTAAAAATGCATATGCGGTACTAAGGTAATGAAAGTAATGAGCTCTGCTTTGGGCAACAAAGGGCATTTTGTGCAGCAGATTTGCTTAACTTTTTCTTTTAAAAAAGCAAGACAGTTCAATGCATAGTGAAAGAGATTTAACTTTGCTAATATATCTTTATATCTTTATTAATTCGTATCTTGGGGAGAAAAAAAAAACATTTATGGGTGGCTGACTAACTAATTGCGATATTCAAATATGCTTTTTTCCAAAAATTGAAAAAGGTATGTTTATCTTAAAAATTACATTTCTCCAGCATCAAGTTTTCTGCCTCACTTTCAAACCACGCCTTTTATGTTTTCTCAAGTTCTCAAGTTGTTTTTTAAGCAGCTGGCATAAATTTTCTAAAGCAAGAAAACAAAGGGCATTTTCTGTTCAAAAAGTTCTTTTCAGTAACCTGATTCTGGCGGCCATAATAACGTTACCCGGGTTCATGCATACATAATAATAATTAATGGCGAAAAGGGGATTCCCCTTTGGAATTTCCGCACAACGTGACCTAGGTTACAACTATATGCACATTACATATCACAAAGGTCACTTTGAACATGTCATATCTTTCAAAACATTATCGAGCCTTTAACACATATGGCCATATTTTGCAAAAAAAGGGCTGAGTGAATGATTGATAATAGTTGCAGCATTTTCCATCATTATCTTAACGCAGCTTAACTCCTGTTGGTTAATAATTATTTTACTTCCTTGATGTTTGAATTGAAGGACTCAATTTCAGCGATAAAATTTTATGAGAAAAAAAAAACAATAATCGTCCAAGATACTAAAACGCTTTGGTAAAGAGGCAATGACCGATTTATCGAACGTAACCAAGTCATTGTTATGTTGATGATGCAGCACCTGCCGTAGTTGTTTACATATAGGTGTACTTTGTGTTGGAGACGATGCACATCAATATTCCAAATACTTACAGGTTCGTTAATCTCTGTCCTGAATTCTACATGGACATCAGCCTTGCCTAACCTCGCGTTGCGAGCTAGAACGCTTTGCCTTAGTTCTCGCTTCACTGGGTTTCTAAGAGCCTTCTCTACATCGTGACTGTTCAGTTCCTCTGGGTCAGATGCTGAGAAATCAAAATTGAAATCGGTATCAAGGTCCTCTTCAGAAAATGAGAATTCTGCATCCTCTGGTCTTTCATCACTGCCCTGTATTATTTCTTCATGTACGTCAAATATTTCCATATTTCAAAATAAAGGGGGGTGAAGGGGCGTTGCAATGGTCAGTAGGTCGATGTGGACGCATCAGCGGACCATCAGACGCTGTCTGGGGACACCTCCACATCAGTAGGCTACACCCGCCCAATGTTTTCGTGTGTTAAACGCCGTTAACGAGTTTTCACCGATTTACTTGTAAACAAGAAATTGAGAAAAACATGATTTTTTCCAGCTCGGCTGCAGCCATGTTACATTGGAACCTGGATGGTATAGGGGAAATCCCCTTTACATATATTAACAACTTGTGCAGTAGGGGATTCCCCTTACGGCTCTGCCGCCTTCCAAGATGAAGGCCAAGAAATAGCGGCAGTATGTTGTTGATATTCAAAATAGAAATACAAGGACAAAAACATCATTCTCAAAACCCCCAATAATTTAACTTATTTGAAACATACTGTGAAGCATTTTGGGTAAAAGAATGATTAAGCGTTTTGGTTTTTGAAAACATATTTTAAAATCAGTAAATTTTAGATATGCAGAATGTTTGAGCTCTCGCCCGTTTTTGTTCTCCCTTGGTTTAACTATGTATTCAGTACTAAAATAAACACCCGATTCCTGTCAGACTGGTTACCTAGCCCCTAGTGGAAACTTGGGTCTCCGCATTCCTCTTGTCTGATGCGTTGTTTTCCTTTACCTTATCATCTCAACGAAAAATTCCCAAATGATTTGTCACTTCTTAAATTTAATTAAATGATAAGGTAAGCAAAAAATGAAACAAAAATGCTTCATCATTATCATTTTGTCGATAAGATAATTGGTTTATTATCTAATGTATTAACTATTTGTTTATCTAAAAGCTATAATTGTTTACTTCAGGATGAAATGAATAAGTTATAATAACGAATGATTATGTCATGAATTTTGTCAACCAATCACATTTATCTAATACTTCATATGAATATACTTTTTTTTCATACTTTTTTCCATCATACTGAGCTGGTGAAAATGTACAGAGATAAATGATTATAATAATACAAAAAAACTTTTACTCAAATAATTAGCAACAAAATAACATAAATACACATTCATTATCATTACACTTTATATCATAAACACTATATAATCATAAACTAGATGCAATCAAAATGCCGAGTCAACTGCTCTCAGCATTGATCGTACGCTAGCATCACATTATGTAACAGAAATCCCCTGATTATCGAATCAGCTTCTTTTCTTGTATCTTAATCAGTTTGATAAAATCTATAAAACCTTTGTGTCAGACAGAATACAGAATGAACATGTATAAAAACTAACCGCAGACAGTTCAAAAGAAGTTACCCGAGGGTATCTTTTCTTTCCTTGACGTGTGCTTTACTAGTACAAAACAAAGCAAACAAAACAAAATCCATACCGCTATACCGGTATTAAAACACTGGCTCTGAAAACGCATCAAGTCTCAAGTTCAGTTCTTTCGCCATTTAAAATCAACTTGAAATGAGCGGGCATTGAGCCAAATGATCGTCTAGCGCGCGTTGAACCGCGTTCTTTTCCTTCTGCAGCTGTCGTATTTGGTAACGCAGTGAGGTGTTCTGACTTTCAAGATCATTGTTTTTCTGGAAGATAGAATACTAAGAAGTGATCAGGCATTACAGGCATTATCACAGGTATATAGGTCATCACCTAAGTCATAACGACTGGCATCTTCAAACAGGCAGTATTTGTACAACACTGTAGCGAACAGTGAAGACCATGTTGACACGACGTTCGGCGGTCAGTCCTTACTGAAACTCTTACTTAAAAGGAGATAAAAGAGGTCACACACTTTAGAAAAAAGTTAATCATAGAATTAATTTTGTTATTACATTTATTTACAAGATATTTGCTTCGTTGACAATATATATTTAAATTCTAAAATAACTGAACATATATGTATTGATTTAAAAAAAATTGTGAGCCTACCGCTTACCTTGACGAGATCCTGAATGGTTTGTTTCTTTTTGTCTCGGCATTTTCTGGCGGCCATTTTGTTTTTCTCACGCCGTGCATCCCTCCGTTCTTGTTCTTCGGGAGATAGCTGATATAAGATACAACAAGTCAACTTTGAAAGATAAAAACATCAGTGTCACACGCAGATTGAATATATTGTGCGAATCATGTAGAGTAACACAATGAGTTGGTAGAACGTGTGGGTGTGGAGGAGAATAAATAAGCATATCTAACATAATCCATCCATGACGCACACCATTACAACACTGTGCATTATAAACCATCCATGCCGAGGGACGGAGCGCCGGGTAAATACAAATTTTAAGTCAAAGTGAAATATCAACGTGTCCACTCTTTTCCATAAAACTTATATGGACTTTCTGCCATGACGTGAACAGCAACAAACAAGACGCTTCAAAGGCACACCGTGAATATGTATGGCTACATATCAAGATCGATGTTTTTGCGGCCGAGGTTCCCTTTTTCTACTCGATTAAATATCCAAAAGGTAGGAAGGTGTTCATGACTGGAGAATGGTTGTTGTCGCTTTCGGCGAATCCCGCAGTTTTCACACATGAGAAGCATAATGTAGATTACAATTTGAGCTCACTTAGTTCGTTGTTAGGGCCACTCACTGACGGCTTGATAAGTGCTAGTATTGTTTTACAGGCTAACCAAAGGCTAACCACCAACTAATACCCGTATGAAGGGGAATACCTGGTATCATACTCGTATTTAGTTTGGAAATGATTTTGGAATGTGAGGTTTCGGTTTCTGATTTATACACCCTAAATTGTTTTACCAAACGAATTTTCGAGACTACATGTAGCCATCTTGCTTCCGCTGGTTTAAATAATGTAAAATATATATTATTGTTAAGTTAAAGTCTTTTTGTAAAAGTGTGTTATAAACATAAAATGTTATTATTATTATTATTATTATTATTATTATTATTATTATTATTGTTGTTGTTGTTGTTGTTATTATAGACTGAAAAGTTCTAAAAAAAACTTCAAAAAGGTTAAAAATGTGCGTATAAAATTTAGTGCAAAAATGACTGGAAAAGATATAGACATTTATTGATCTTAATAAAATATCGTTCCGCCAACAGTTAGACAATTTTTACTTGAAATAAATAAATAAATAAATAAATAAATAAATAAATAAATAATAACAATAGAAAAATGTTTAACGTGATACTGATGAATGAAGAGACCTGGATGTGTAAGGCCGAATATAATATTTGGCGTTTTTGAAATATGGAAAAGTTACGTAAATACCCACAAGATGGAGACATTTACGCTATTCCACATGACGATGAAATAGCAATAAATGACCTGAGCAAAGCATAAAAATGAAATACCGTCTCGGAGTTTTCATTGAAAATAATATACAAATACAAATAATGGATAAAAACTTGCACTAATTGTGCACTGCTCCTACCTCTTCAACTGTTGACTCTTTATATTCTGCCTTCAAAGCTCCATTGCATCTTCTTAGTATGCTGTATCTCAGTTCCTCCCTAACAAGTGGGCTCAGATCGCCTTTTACAAGAGCTTCGACATTGGCGTTTTCAAAGTCGGGCAGATCTGCAGTGCAGTATCTTAAAGCGTCATATTCTTCAAGTGGGAACGCTGAAGGGTCCAGGAAGTTTTCATCACTCTCTTGTTTGGAGGCAAGCTGCAAGAAGTGTTCTCCTGTGGCTGGTGGGGTTTGGTGACGAATTTCAGAACAGATGCTGTTTTCCATGTTTTGTAACCTTTTTAGGGTATTTTTGCTGTTAAAGAACTAGTATTCTGTTGACTTTGAGCAGTAATAGTTGCTACAAAGCTCGCGTTGATAAGTGTGGATCTGAAGAATGTAAAAAATTGAAACTTCTTCGCTAAAATGCAGCTTTTATGTACACGAATATCCAAGCCAAACAATTACATATGTGCGATGCAATCTGTCTGATATAGGCCTACTGTGCAGAACGGGGATTTCCATCAGAAACCACCCAACTCCGAGCCAAATAGAAAATGCGTGCCCAACCATATGGTATTATTGGTGAGGTATGCTGAGGAATAAACTTTTTAATAACATGAAAAAATTGAATTGCAATTGGCTCTTATCTGCACCATCAACCGCATGGATTTTGTATTATTACTACGCAAAACTTCTCGCTGTATGGGATACATAACCGTGCACAGAGTAAATAAGCTAGACAATTACCTGTAAATATCTAGTGATGAGATTATCTGTGACCAAGATAGAGGGGAATTATCCTATTTCTATACATATAAATGACCGCAAATATTTTTGTATAACATATTTGTTTGGTTGTTAAGACGCATTCCACTGACAAAGAGATTCGATTCGTTAACATGATAGGGCGAGTTCAAACTTGCCTTTTGTTTCTTTACAAGTATAATATGTCTTCGAAATTTACCCATTGTTAAAAATAGATTCGACGTTGGGTAAGTACACTGCTCTTGTTGGAATGTTGCCACTCAAAACAGCTGTTATCACATTCTTTGAGTACCCGTGATATTATCTCACCTCAGAAACCATCTCTCCTTGATCAATACGTCACACCACATAATTTGTGCAAATACGTTGTTTAACGTGTACACAACAAAGCAAAAACCTCTCTTAAGAGTAGACCTAACTTAGGCGTCGTTTTTTTTTTTAACTTATCTTCAGCTGTGCCTACAGCATCAAACAAAACACTCCTCAGCCAAATGTATGAATACATTTTAACAATACCCCAATCACTCCCTTGGGTTTTCCTAAACCGCACTTATGGAAACGTGTGTGTGTGTGTTCGTGTGTGAATAGCCGCAGGTGCGCCAGGAAATAGTGGTACAGTAGGCTTGTGGTGGCGAATGTTTGAATTAAGCGGCTTACATTATATAAGAAATATTCGATAACAATCGTCACCATAGACACTTCTAAGATCTTTTTTCTACTACCGCCTGGTATAAATAATCAGGGAAACTTTCTTCATCAGAAAACGATCGACTTTCGCCATACATGCATTAATTATTTCTTTGATACTTTGATATCAAAAGAAAAATCCCCGCATTATAATTGCCCGGATGTTGTTGACCGGTCGTGGTCCAGTTTTTTTCCACGGGAAACTAACAAGAACTGTATCCTCTACCAGGGCCACAGAAGGATTTTAATAAGATATTGACAGATATGTCTCTGGCCCTTTTCTGCACTGTCGCGTTAGAGAAAAGTGCACATAATAAATCTGCGGTCTTGGTTGTAGAGGGTACATGAACAGCAAGAACAAAAGAAAAACCAAAATGATCGTTGTACGCTGAGAATATTGTTTGGAGCTTCACCCCTTTACACTAATCTTCACCTGATTAAATCATTTATTCAAAATGCTGTATCGAAACGTGCTTTCCAAATCATCCTTGAGATATGTGTAGTCCCGATGTTTATTCATATAAATTTATCACCATGATAAGCATTGTTTAATTGTTTAACACAATACGATTTAATAAAAATCGCTTTACTTTGTTATAAACAACCCGCCCCTTACGCTGTTCGTGAAGTAAGCGAATGGTGTAATCTTAAACTTATCGCAGTAATTATAACATAAATAAATTTCAGCTGTTACTTTTCTCATAGCTTGTGTCACGAACATTGTATTACTTACAGCTGTACAGGCACATCTGCTTCCGTGTCTATATGCTTAAAGAGATAACAACTGTTCACTATGGCCAAAAACTGGACTTTTCCCGGGGGTAAAAGACAATTTTCTCATACAAACCAATGTTAATTAATCCATTCAAAGTTAGTCCCTAGTTTTTTCTAAAAAGTTTGTTTTTGTAATATTCTCTTAAGAGATTATTACAAGAGTGTAACCATGTATGGAGGTCACGTGACGTGATGGCAAGCACAAATTCCAAAATAATTGCGTTAACTGCAGTTTTGGTGGAAAAATAGAATTTGTTATATTTCTGTGGGTTGTTTATTGTGAAATATGAATGTCTTACGAACAGTTGTTATCCCTTTAAATGAAGAAACTATACCCTTTCATGATGACGTTAACTACTGATTAGCCGAGCTGACAAGTGATTCATAATTTACACTTCAATAAAAGAAAATGTCGCCATATTTCAAATACTGTTTGCTTATTAACGTTATAACATGCCATAAAACGCTTGCATCTACCGTCACCTGAAAATTTAAATATGTTATTAATAAGGACTGCTAAGCTATCGTTTTATCACAATTACTGTTTACAACACGATTGTCACCTTTATAAAACTTAAGCTTACCGCCCTATAAAACTTTTGCAATGTTTTCAATTCACTCTCTAGCCCAAGCGGACCATTATAATGATTTAAAACGCCAACATATTTCTTTTCAACAGCTGTATTTATTTTGAATGAAAGTTATCTGTGTCAGGTCCACTCTGGTGATACAGAGGTCAGTTCTCCTAGCGCAAGTTCCACGTGGACGTTCCTTCAACCATTACACGTCGGAAATCCCGACTTCACTGGTTAACAGCAAGGAGCACCATGGTAGCTTTACTTTTCAACGACTCCCTTTTTTGTGTGTAGGGTTCCACTGATCTATATGTAGTTATACAATTTCTCTTTGTGGAAAGACTGGGAATCTGTAAGAACATAACAGCTGCACAAGCATGCTTTTTCTATTTAATAAAAAGAAGTAACCTCATACACCACTACCTCCGCCCGGTTATCTTAATGTTCGTCAGGGCAGAATGTCGTGCTTTGGATTTATTAAAGTTATGATGCTGGTGCTGTGTTGATCCTGGGGGGCCTCCCTGAGGGGGCCCCCCTTGTCCATACATATTACCACCACCTGAAAACCCCTGTTCGGGCCCCTGCTGCTGTGGGGGAAATTGTCCTTGAAATCCACCGGGCCCCATCATTTGAGGTTTGTTGTAATTTCCAAACTCTTGAAACCCAGCACCTTGCTGGCCAGGAAACCCTCCCTGGGGTTGTTGCTGCTGACCTGGGGGGCCTCCTTGGTACCCCGCCCCCTGTGGCTGAGGGGGTGGGGCCTGCCCCTGAGGGTAGGGTGCAGGGGGGTAGGTCTGATTTTGAAACCCGTACCCCTGCTGTTGCTGTGGTGGCTGCTGCTGAGGGGGGAGAGGTTGAGACTGGAAGTTTCTTTGTTGGTATCCCGCCTGTTGCCCCACTGGAGGGGGTGGCTGTTGGTACATACCAGGAGGCTGTTGAGGCTGCTGTTGTTGTTGCTGATATTGTACCTGTCCTGCCTGTCCCGGATAGGGTTGCTGCTGCTGATAGGGCACCTGTTGTTGTTGTTGTTGTTGGTATCCAGGTTGCTGCTGTGGGAAGGCAGTACTGGTAGAGAATGTAGCTGGGGCAGTAGCCTGGTTGTACACAGGGGCAGGAGTGCCTGACTGGGGGTTATAGCCAACACTGCCTGCCGTACTGGCCTGGTTGATCAGAGACTTGATATCCTGGGAGCCCTCCTGGGACATGAAGGAGGAGGTGTACATCTGTGAGGACATGTAGGGGTTATAGCTGCTGTAGGTAGTCTGTGCTGGTTGTGGGGGTAGAGCAGGGGGTGGCTGCTGATAGGGGGTGGTATACTGCCCTGGGGTGGGGGTCCCCACAGGCTGGGTCACACTGCCGTACTGACCTCCTGGGGTGCCTGCTACCACCCCCTGAGGGGGTACTGGCCCTGGCTGGGGGGTGAGGGGTTTCTCCACAGGCTGTTGTCCGGCATAGTGCGATGGCCTCCCTGGGGATGTGGGTGTGCTGGGTCCCCTGGAGGGTTTGGCCCCAGGGGTGGGGGTGACACTGGAGGACCTGCTACCATCCTGTCTGGGGACCTTAGCTGGCTGTGGGGGTTCTGGGGGTGTGGACTGCAAATAGAATACAAGGTACTTGAATGAAGTCAATGTGATATACAATACTTCAGTAAGGTGAACTGGTGGAATATTTTGTCTTTTTTTTTGTAATAATCCAATGCAATTCTAAGAAACTATTTATCACACAGGGGGTGTGGACTTGAAACAGAATTAAAGGTTTTATATTTGCATAAAGTCAATGTGAATCAGAGTACTCACTTTCTTAATGTGAAACACTTTCAGTGATCCCCCCCCCCTTTTTTTTCAATTCAATGCAAGTCCAAGACAATGTAGTTCTGACACTTACAGGTTTCTTCACTGGCAGTGCCTGCTGCTGCTGTAGTAACAGCTGTCTCTGTTCAGGAGTTCTGTTGGTAATCATGGGAGGGGACTCCGCNTGGCCCCATCATTTGAGGTTTGTTATAATTTCCAAACTCTTGAAACCCAGCACCTTGCTGGCCAGGAAATCCTCCCTGGGGTTGTTGCTGCTGACCTGGGGGGCCTCCTTGGTACCCCGCCCCCTGTGGCTGAGGGGGTGGGGCCTGCCCCTGAGGGTAGGGTGCAGGGGGGTAGGTCTGATTTTGAAACCCGTACCCCTGCTGTTGCTGTGGTGGCTGCTGCTGAGGGGGGAGAGGTTGAGACTGGAAGTTTCTTTGTTGGTATCCCGCCTGTTGCCCCACTGGAGGGGGTGGCTGTTGGTACATACCAGGAGGCTGTTGAGGCTGCTGTTGTTGTTGCTGATATTGTACCTGTCCTGCCTGTAGCGGATAGGGTTGCTGCTGCTGATAGGGCACCTGTTGTTGCTGTTGTTGGTATCCAGCCTGCTGCTGTGGGAAGGCAGTACTGGTAGAGAATGTAGCTGGGGCAGTAGCCTGGTTGTACACAGGGGCAGGAGTGCCTGACTGGGGGTTATAACCAACACTGCCTGCTGTACTGGCCTGGTTAATCAGAGACTTGATGTCCTGGGAGCCCTCCTGGGACATGAAGGAAGAGGTGTACATCTGAGAGGACATGTAGGGGTTATAGCTGCTGTAGGTAGTCTGTGCTGGTTGAGGGGGTAGAGCAGGGGGTGGCTGCTGATAAGGGGGGTTATACTGCCCCGGGGTGGGGGTCCCCACGGGCTGGGCCACACTGCCGTACTGACCCCCTGGGGTGCCTGCTACCACCCCCTGAGGGGGTACTGGCCCTGGCTGGGGGGTGAGGGGTTTCTCCACAGGCTGTTGTCCAGCATAGTGCGATGGCTTCCCTGGGGATGTGGGTGTGCTGGGTCCCCTGGAGGGTTTGGCCCCAGGGGTGGGGGTGACACTGGAGGACCTGCTACCATCCTGTCTGGGGACCTTAGCTGGCTGTGGGGGTTCTGGGGGTGTGGACTGCAAATAGAATACAAGGTGCTGTTCTTGAATGAAGTCAATGTGATATACAATACTTCAGTAAGGTGAACTAGTGGAATATTTTGCCTTTTTTTTGTAATAATCCAATGCAATTCTAAGACACTATTTATCACACAGGGGGTGTGGACTTGAAATAGAATTAAAGGTTTTGTATTTGCATAAAGTCAATGTGAATCAGAGTACTCACTTTCTTAATGTGAAACACTTTCAGTGTCCCCCCCCCCCTTTTTTTTTCAATTCAATGCAAGTCCAAGACAATGTAGTTCTGACACTTACAGGTTTCTTCACTGGCAGTGCCTGCTGCTGTTGTAGTAACAGCTGCCTCTGTTCAGGAGTTCTGTTGGTAATCATGGGAGGAGACTCGGCCCTCTTCTGGGGGTTGCTGGAGTACAGGTCCAACACTCGGTGACAGATGTCTGAGAGAAAAAGAAACAATTTTGTTACTCTAGAATCAAATTACACACCTAATGACACTATTTAAAATAGAACCTGGGGTACTTTTTTAACTTATTTTTTCATAAATACCTTTTCCAGGTTTAGAGACCAATATCTGTAAATTCACTGCAAACACATCTTCAGGCTTTGAAGCTCATGGCAAGTTTTAAAATTTCAATAGACATCACTTTCTGTTAAGAATTTATAACTATAGCCTCACCTTCTAATAACTCCAGAGTAGCGTCCTCTACAAAGTGTTCCCACCACTTCCCCTTGGTTCCTGGCACCCTGCCTTCCCAGTCTGTAATATCAAACTTGGACAGTCTGCTGGCCAGGTAGATCAGTGCGACAGCCACTATGTCTGGCTCCCACTCCAGGCACAGAGTGGTACACAGGCTGGAAGAGACAGGGGTGAATGAATTTTAATTCTAAAATTTTAATTAAAAAAATTCCAATTATGGGCATAAGATGAAATAGGAATCTACTTCAGCGTGGTACATGGGCTGGAAGAGGCAGGGATGAATCACATGAACTTCTAAAATGGGTACATTACAGCATAGGATGAAATAGGAATCTACATCATGAATTTAACAATATCTTATCTTTATAGGAGGAACCAGTTTGTGTAACACAGAAATGTAAATAGCATAAGACAGTCCTTTGAATTAATTTCAAACAGTCAACTATAGCACTTTGCATAATGAAGCTTCCTATACAGGTCTAAAATGCTGCTGCCTGTTTCTTACTATATCCATTTATAAGCTTTTACATATCATTATTCTGCAACAACATTGTTATACAGTATTTTATAAAAAGGATTATACTAATTTTTGCCTCTAATTAGCCATACCCGTCATTGATAAATGTCCATGCCATCTGCACCATCTTCTGGACTTTCTGTTTATCACCTGAAATATAACAGCTTTGTGTTAGCAATAGATCTCTTTTCATTTGGATAGTTAAGACTAGGACAAAATATATTTGGTATAGTCTCCAACATACAATGGTGTGTGTGTGTGTGTGTGTGTTGGGGGGGGGGGGGGGTTCTT